GCTACATACACAATATAATAGTACAATATACGTATATACGAACTAGGGACATTATATTATTATACACACAAATATGCCGCCGCCGCACTAATTAGCTATTAATTGCGACTTGCGTGCATACCGTTTTTGCTTTCATACACACACACACATATATATTATGTATGTGCGAGTGTGTGGACTATAACGGCCGCGACTTAAATTAAGTACGTATATATAATATGTATATATATATATGAGGCCACAGAGATACAATATTATTTTGAACGCGCTCGACGATACTTGAGTGTACTCACGTGTGTAAAAACTGTAATGCGTAGCGGTGGCGGTGTTTAAGATTTTCAAAGAGACGATGGGACGCAGTCAATTATCAGCAAAAATTTGAAAATACATTTTTACGTTATAGTTACTATAATAATTAAATGTATACATATTTATTTGATACAAAAATCTATTGAATTCAAATTTTCTCCAATCACATAACGCTGAAACACATGCCTATTCAACATTTCTAATTATTATTGTCATTTTTCCTGAAATTGACTTAATATATCCTCTAGGCTTTACAGGTAGGCATAAAAGTATGATTTTAATCCACATTGTACTATATTTCTCTTTTAGGTGGGTACCTACCTATTATAAATTGTAATTTATTCTAATGCTCAACCGTACGAAATTTCAATAATAAGCGTATAGTTGGCACTAACAATTTCAACCAATAATATTCATGTGCAAATTATATAGATGATGTACACATGTAATACTTTTTATATTCGATGATTTTGAATTGGCAAACGCGTTTGAAACTATGAGTCATAATTATTTTCAAAATATTAAAACCCATAATGATATGTATTATTACTTTATAAATGCAATTACTAAATAACAGTTTAGATTCTCGTGCCTCTCACATTTGTTTATCTCGTACAAACGGTCCAAACGGACACCAGTGTCCAGTATACACCACATGTCAACATAATATAACAATATTACTTACATATTTTATATTATATATTATTATTACCATTTACCATGCATGCAGCTTAGAATCCGTGACAGAAACGATATGGTATCCGGATTTTATCGATATCATAAATATAACTTTATCTATACTCGATGGTCATATAAAATAAATAATATATACCTGCACTAAATGAGCGATGTAGCTTGTAATATAGGTAAAAATGATAATTATTTAATTTTATTGATTGTTGATGAATTTCATTGCGAGGTTTATTAAGTTTATAGTATTGTATATTTGTATATATGAGAAAACCGAGAGGATGCCAGGTCCGTTTTGAAAAATATGAAAATATTACGATTTAAAAATGTTTATAAATCACATAAACATTTAAATATTGTAAAAAATATCATAACATATACAGATAATGTTCTTACCTTTAGGTTTGATAATGCGTTAAAATGAATTTCTAATATTAAAACTTACTACAAACAATTCGAACGATCGAACACAAATTTGGTATACTGGTTATACTTTTGGTATATTTTGGTATATATTGTTCCTAAATTATTTGTAAGCCGAAGACAATTGCACATGCAGATTTGGTGCCCGTCCTCTTAATCGCATATCTGAATGCCATCTTTAATGTTTAAATGATATTTAACTATTTGAAATAAATTAATGTATCTATGAATATTTTTGAAAAATATTACATATTTATCAGCCAAATACAAGCAGATAAATACATCGTATTTCATCATGGCATTTAATGGAACTTATATGGTAAATGATAATATTAACATTTGGCAATTCAACATTCATAATATTATAGGTATGATAGGATTGTGTTCTATATAATATTTTGTATATATAGTCATCCCCGGTGTTTAAATACACCTTTGCAAACATAAAATTGTCGCCATGAGTCCCCCCTCAGATATTTTTTTCCATAAATCAAAATGTTAAATCCCGCCCAACGGCTAAGACCACATCTATCCTGCCCTTTTAAGCCGGCCCAGGTTCCTGTGCAATGTCGGGTTCTATTGTCAGTGAGGATTGTGAGTCTAATTTGTCCTGTGATAGAATTGATCTCAAACGTGTTTTTATGTGAAAGGGGACGGGGGCCCGGTGCACTATTATGAGGATTCTGCAGGCGAAATCATTGTATATGCATACAATAAGTTTTAAAAGTAATAGTAAGCATGAAAAATCGTTGACCCGTTTGGCGTTTATTGCTTTTATTGCCTACGTCTACCGTAATCAAAAAAATACGTTTAGATAGATTTAACTTTTTTTCACATCCTAAACATTTGTTAGAATACTTTTTTCGTCACAGAGAGGTTGAGCCATATTTAACAGTCTCAAATAGCTGAGTACAATATATGTATTGTAATGATACCGAAAAACGATTTCTGATCGATAAAATGTCAACTTAAAATATATATTAAAAACTAGAAAGTATAATAATATATACCTAACGTACACCAAAGTTCAAATACCTAGATACTAAATTAATTGTATACTTAGGAAAAAAATTACATTTCAGACACAGTATATGTACTATTAATAATAATTAACCAGGAGAAACTACAAAACAAATATTATTTAGTACATATCTTTTTAGTTAAAGCCTTTTACAATCTGTGATTGAAGACTTAAATTAGGTAATTATATTACATTAAAGATACATTCTTCTGAAATAGCGTCGTACTCGGTATTTATAATGTACATATTATTCGAACGAATATCCAGTGTATATATTTTTTTTTAATAAAGTCTCGATTAAATTAGAGCTACACATTTTTATTGAGTGTGTTTATAATTTCCACTTAATACCCACAGATCGTACATATTTTATAGTTGATAATAAATACATAAATTTGTATTTTTTTGTTAAATTATAAAATCCTTCTCTTACAAGGTGCCAACTTCACTAGTGCGATGACAACGCGTGTTTTCGCTTTTATGTATTAATTATAATAATTATCTTGATACTAATAGTGAGTTCTGTAGAAAAAAATTGATAAAAATCAGCACTGCATAATATATGATGTACCTAACCGTGACGTCTGTGACAACGGCAACGTGGGCGCCACAAAATGTTTAAAAAAAATACGTGCCAAGTACTAGAATAACGTGATAAGACCTACCAATATGTTTACGTATACGCATCGTCTAAATGTGTATTATCATTTATAGAACATACTAATATGTAGTGTGTGTTATTAAAGATGTAGTATACCTGTACAATTAATGGACATTGTCGTCAACAACAGTGTGGGCGTGTGACACTTAAAAGCCGCAATGGAATTTAATCAACTAACTAGGTACCGACTACTAGAAAATTTATAATAGATGATGACACGTCACATATCTACTGTTGTAATTATAGGTAGCTCTGTGGAAAAACTCTGTGACCCATTATACTCCATGCAAAAGACAATAAACGTTTGTGGCGATTTTAAATTTTACCGCACTCACCGATACTATGTGTATACACGTGTATACAAACTGTAGGTGAGGGTTTCCGATTTCCATTTGAATATTCTGAAATGATAATTTCGAATTTCTAAAGATATGAATGATGAAAATAATTATATCCTTCTCCTATGCCTAGTTTCTACCCCTAGTGACAATACTATACTCTATAAGTTAGGGCATATTCTTCAGAATTATATAGTGTAGCGTTGAAATTGGATTGTAGACTCGGCTCTATATGTATATGTGAAAAAAGTTTTTCTTTGATGACTTTTATCAAAAATAAGTAAAGAACCAAGCTAACAAATTCTAATTTAAAAAATGTAATGCTTATATTGTCAACTAGATTACGAAGAGATAATATCCATAAAACAAATTCAACACTATAATTAAAAAATCATTGCAATTGAACTGTCATAAAAATAGTTCCCAAGAAAAAAATATAAAATTTAATTTATATTTCGTGTAAAGAAATAAATATTTTTTAAGACACATTCTCAACTTTCTATTTATTATTTGGCACAATATAGAAAAATGTTGGCCACCCCTGAGATTAGTAATATAGGTATGTATAGCGATTCTGAATGACCTCACATTGATCGTTCAGATTTTATCCTTTATTAATAATGCTTAACCGAACCCACCTTTATTTTAAAAGCATAGTTTAAAGTACTCAATTTGTTTTAAATTTATTAGGTAACGTCTTGTAGAGGTTCATGTTTCAAATGAAAACTGTCTTTTCCCCAATAAATTCAAGAACATTATTTTTTTTTTTTGAAAATTCTGATGCATTTAAATTAATAGTTTTCGATTCATTAAACTTTGCTCGCTAAGGGTAATTTTTAATTTTTTTACAGTCCTTAGTAACACATAGTACTATAATATCTCAAATTTGAATGGTATAAACAATATATAAACAGACAATAAATTTAAAAACGTGTTGATACGTTTAGTTTTTAAAAGACGCAATCGTGACCTGTACGGCTACACCTGCCTGCCATTTGTGAGCCACCCAACTCAAAACAAAACTGTTTTTTTTTTAACTTCGATACAAAGTAAAAGAAAATTCGATAAGTCTTTTATAACGTTTTCCTTGAACGTGTGCTATCCTATATATATATACATATATTTTCACTACAGAGCACGTTCTGTCATTTTTAAGCAGACCAATTGAATTTGATCTTATATCGGTAGTGCATTAGTGCTGTGCAGTGTTAACGCTGTGTGTTCTACTATAATATTGATTTTGAAATTGGCTTCTTCTTTTCTTTTGGTGTATACTGGTTAAAGCGTTAGAAGTTCTAACAGATAGTTTGGACCAAAAACTAAATCGTGTAACCGAATGCATCCATTGATAGGCGTGTGGCTAATTCACCCCAAGCTCACCCTAAGTTCCGGCTGCGGTGAACCTACACAGACACATAATTGATGTTAGTATATAATATAGTGACAATCGGGGGAAAAGGCATAACTTATTATGAAATATAATAATATATATTTATACGTAGAATAGTATATAGCTACAGATAATCTAACCTAACATTTTCATTTTTTTTGGTTTCAGCGGACCATCGATTGAGTGATGCACCCGAATCGCAGTTGCAGTTGTTATCGCTGTCACTGGACAGCGGTCGGACGATAAGGCACGCATACGCTTATAGTGGCGCCGTTTCAAGTTATTGCACGAACATACAAACGGACAAGTGGGAACAGGTGGACAGCCAGACGGATCGCATTACACACGCGTTGCACATGATGATGATGACCAACTGTCTGCAGCAGAGCGTGTGCGCAGAGGCGGCGGCCATGCAGGCAATGGAACTGCACCGCCGGAACAGCGGGGGTGGGGGCGACCAATCGATCGGCAAGTCTGGTCGCGACGACGGTTCGGCTACCGAATACAACGACGACCGAGTGCAGCCCACTTCCGGCGGCCGTTTGAACGGCTCGGCCGAGCGTCCGTTGAAGTTCAGCATAGACAACATATTGCGACCGGAATTCGGCGGTGGCACCGGAAGCTTGGCCACGTCCGGTGGCAGCCCTCCGTCGGTGTTCAACCCGTACGACCACCATCACAGACACTACCACCCCCATCTCCAACATCAACAACAACAACAACACCTCAACCACATCGACCGCCTGAACCACCTAAACTATCAACTTCACCATCTCAACCAACTCAGTCACAATGCCGCGGCCGCTGCCAGCGCCAACACAGCGGTCCGCGCGGTCGCAACGGCTATCAATGACGCGGCCGGCCCGGCGTCGTCTGATCACGAGAAATCCAATAGCAGCAGACGGTCTTCGTCGTCGTCCACCGCTGAACCACTGAGTTCGCCCATCGATCTGTCGTGTTCCGACTCGCAGACCTGTGTCAACCCTGTCGCGACTGCTAACTCGGCAACAGTCAGCACCGCCGCCGCCACCGCCGCCAATGCCACCCACGCGACTACCGCCACTGGTTCTTCGGACGCCACCATCAATGCAGTCGCCGACAAAGACGGCTCTCAACAGTGGCCGGCCTGGGTGTACTGCACAAGATACTCGGATCGCCCTTCTTCCGGTAAGTGTTTTTTCGAGATAAATACTTCCTCTCTCCCACCCTCCACCACACCACAAACGCACCCGTACAACCATTCCATATAGTATATAGTTATTCATTATTCATGTTACCCAACTGCGTGAGTACGTCACGATTTTCATTATCGTTATGTGATGTTGATGTTTATCAATACTATACTCTGTATTAAAAAAGCGTAATTTAATTGAAATTAGAGTCGTACCATGAGTCATTTCGTATATTAATTAATTATTATTAACGAATCTGTAGATATATCTAACTCAGACAACAGATAGATATTCGTATAATAGAACCAAAACAAGACATTATCATTAAGATCGTACCTGACTAAAGAACCATGAAAAAAATGTATAGACGTTGTTAATAAAATCACAATAAAGCATGATGAATTCAAGGACAGATTGCACATGCAAGAATGAAATGTAATGACATTAAATTAGTAAATCCGTCGCAAACGTTTATAAATCCTGTATGTACCTGCTGTTATAAGATACTCGTACAAGTATTATATTGTTTCATAGAATAATGATTTTAATATATTATTATAACTTAATTAAATCTCTTACTAGGTACTGCTGATTCTTTAACATATATTGTATAAATCTACATGATACACTATAGGTATTTCATAATATGCTTATATTCACAGATGTATTGTAGAAGGAAGTTATTTTTATGTAAAGGATATATATTATATACAATAAATTACAATTATTTATATTCAACCGAAGTGTCAGTCATGAAAGTATGTAGTGTATACATGATTATACGGTAAATGTACGCATATCTCATTATAAATGACTCCATACATTTTAATTTCGTTCAGAGAATTTCAAAAATATTCTGATAGTTTTCGAATTTTTACGAGATTGATGTATATTATTTTTAAATCTGAAAAGTTTCATTTCCATCTCGAAACAAACACGTGGTATACGGTTGTACTATAAAGGAGGTTAACCTCGTTGTCAGATATAAATTATCCGGGGAAGTCTGTTGACCTTATTGTTAGATATAAATTACCCTCTCCCATAACCTGGTTGGCGGTTGACCTCTTGAGTAAGTTTAACCGTAGCTAGGGTAGTGCATGCGGAGACCGCAAATTGCGAATAATTTAAATGACATCTCCTACAGGCAATAGTCGTCCGCGGATAGATCACCCATAATTTAATACAGCAGATTGAGGAGTTGTATCAAGTAGATCGTTATTCGAATTGACTTTGGTTAAATACGCGCATTACTACAACCGAACAGTTTCACAAAATTAATAAGTTTGTTACAATAGTACCAATATAAGTCAGTTGAGTCGTATATTGTGTAGTAAGATCCTTGAGTAGCGCTCGCGTGCCGTGATATTGGTGAAGAACGGTTGTGTGTGCACTTTGCAGTTTACCTTACAATGTGATGTGTGGTATTCAGTATCATTATCAAATGACATAATATTATATATATTAGTGATTTATATCTACGAGGTACTGTTATTGCTCATCGGAGCCATCGTGTAACGCGAGTATAGAGCCGCTGTTGTGATACACAGCAATGTGGTTCTTGACTTATGTTTGACATTTTTAGGACACGTTATTATTAAACACGTACACAACGTTTCATTTTATTTTCCATCATTAAATCACAATGCACGAAATATGAATACAATTATTATTATATTATTCGGCCAACGGGAACGCGTGCATATATAATACAATACATAATAAAGGTGATATTGCTATGCCTAAGTATATATAGGTAGGTACGTAGGTTACAGACAACGCACTCGCGTAGTCGCTTGTGTTTACTGGCGATTAACAATGCAAAACCATTGTTTAAACGATGAACTAGGAGCAGTGAACGTTTATAATCATTACGAGTACAAAATATAAATATAAAATATTAGGTAGATATGTGTTAAGTTTTATTATATGACGTGTGGTATAAACAATAATATAATAGGTATGCATAAAGTATCTGTATTATAGTATATTTTATGTACTTATATATTAAGACTTTCGCCACTCTCGAGCATCCATTAACTTGTAACTTCACTGATTTAACTCACTACAAAGTGATTTTTTTCTGTTAACCTCTGCCTACAAGTCTAATAGTAGGTAAGTAGGTAGGTACTGGGTATAATAATGAATCGCAATAGTTATATTATTGACCGTTGTAGTTTTCTAGTTGCGAATATTAGACAAGCCAACGAAACGAATGTGCGTCATTTATTATATATTTTGCTATTATACAAATGATTATATATTATAATATACTCTTACAGTCGTACCTATAATAAACGTGTTCGCTTATAATAGCCTTACGAATATCGAGTCGCCGAGGCGTGTACCATGAGGTTACAAACGAGTTCGTTTAATGTAACTATAGTAGGCAAACGGGAACGACGACATTTGTCGAACGTCCAAATCATCATATTATACGTGTGCATATATTATACGCATAATATTACAATGCCTAATACCTATTATATCTGTAGAAATGTAAGCGACGGTACATACCTAATCGCCGCCTGGCAATCGAATATTACAATAGTGATTAATGCTTTCCAATGCTATATAATATCTATTATACGCGATCACGATCGGGATAAACGAGCTTCGATGTGCGACGACGGGCGATCGTTTCGTAAGTATATGACATTGTCATACTTTTATGTAGAAGATACCTTTGAGAGTTCTAGGCACATTTATATGTGTGCGTCCTATGGTCACGTAAGTAAATATCAAATACTTCCAAAACTTTTTAATACTTTTCAAAATAAGAAAGTTAAAATGTAATGGCCCAATATTAGAATGTATATCTCGTACATTTATATTTATAAACTATTATAAACTCGCTCGCAAATCATGTTGCACGTCATTGTGACATACCTATATAACAAAATACAGTATAAAACCAGCTTTTTCATTTTATTTCTTGCCACAAAATATGATTTTACCAAATAAACTAGAATTAAATTTTGTTCAGTAAATGAAAACCTTCGTGTTATTATTGTTATTGTTTCAAGTATTAAAATAAAGCTGCATAAATAATTTATAATTACTTTAATTACTAGATATTAACCTTGTGAAAAATCAACACACTAAATTAACTAACATACCAGTTGTGCACTCTTTGCTGAACCACGCTCTACAATAAATGCAAAAAAAATACCATAAAATGTACATATTCGACATTTGTATGCCTGATTTTTCATGTCAATTCCGGCCCTTTCGAAGAGGTTTTAAATTTGGTACAAACATCATCGCACATTGTCCAATTCCAAGAAATATAAGTGTAAAATCTTGCTGATATTTCTGGGCCATTTTCAGATTTTGTTGCCACAGCTACGGCTGCAACCTATTATATACTATTATCTTATTGTAGTGATGATAAATCATATCAAAACACCGAAGGTCCGCGAAACGCCACGGTAGTACAAAATAAAAAGCCTGCTCTCGACAATATACCTGTATAATATTGTATACCTATTAGGAATCTGACGAAAAATCTATTTTACGGCCGTCTACGTCGTCGACTGATACTATAGATTTCTAAATGTATATAGGTACTATATATATGACGTTGATTTCGTTTTTGGTAATAAAAAAAAATCGTACCTACGGGTAAAAAAATATCTAATCCGCGCGTATACTTGTCGGTACGAAACAACCTGCAGCAGTATAATATAGGTATGACTACGACGTATGCGACGTCTGCTCATATAAGTATGCTAATGATGGCGGCAAAGAAAATAAAGACTTCCGATAGATTCTGTTATATGTTGTGCGAGGACCGGAATCGATTTGGTCGGCATCGAATTAATATGGGAGAAAAAAACCACGGGGGTCACCGAGGAAGTTTAATAATTGTATGCCATCGTCCCGAGCGTCAAGCTACTGCGGACCCAGACGCGATACCGCTCAAATTTTTTTTTTGTTTCGCAATCGGACGTTTATGATAATATGACGTAGGTAGGTTGATTAGATAAACAATCCGAAGACATGTGCCGCTGACGTTTCGAGACGATATTCCGGCAGAAGACCTCGAATACCATAATTAAAATTGTTGAAAATTTTTTCGTTCGACCGCGTAAATATAAGCTCCATAAAAAAAAAACGTCGTACGAAAACCGCGCGCACATCATGTTGTAATACTTAATATATTACATATTATATATATATATATACCTATATAGCTGATGTTCGGTGAACGCGCGAGCGGCACTTGCTCGACCCATTGTGAGCGACCGCGAGTATAATTATTATATTAATGTGTGGTTTAGACGGTTTCTAGAGGTCTCGAATCCGAATACCACGACCACTGCGGCGGCGGTGTCCGACGACGACGACGTACTTAGAGACGGTCAAACGGTATCGGCTCGGACACACACACACACACACGCACATGAAACATATATAGGTACAACGAAATGTTGTATAATATTATATTATAGCTTCAGCATAATGTAATGTATAATAATATGTACCCCTTCCTATATGCGTGAGTGAGTGTGTGTGTGTGTGTGTGTGTGTGTGTGTGTGTGTGTTGTATGTGTCTGTCTGTCCGCGTCCGTCCGTGTCTCCGATCCGGTGCGCGTGTGCGAGTGTTACGCGCGTGAGCGCGCTACAAGTGATTGTCGGACCACCCAAACGCAATATTGGTTTTGGTTCATTCCGATTTCCATTAACCAGACCGAGATTTACCTGCCGATCGCTCATTCATATAGGTATGTTTATTATATATTATGTATGTATACCTACACATTGGTATATTATAACCGTCTCTGGAGAGTATGAGTGTATGCGTGTGTGTGTGTGTGTATGGGTACCTACTGTATACACTACTGCAGCACTCGGCGCATCGCCACTGTTGCTGCTGCTGGACACTTGAGAATAATTTTTCTTTTTATATACATAATATATTATTGTAATCGAAAAGACACGATTCACCCGGAGATATATATAAGATTATTTATTATAAAATAGGTAGTACGAGCC